GATAAAGAGAGGAACCGCATTGCGTTCGAAGCGACGCAGAACTGAGCGGATCCATCACAACAAGGAAGTTGAGATGAGGCGGACGACGCAAAACGAAGTTCTCCGTAGACCGCGCGGACAGCGCGCTCCGTTTGCAGACCGCCCTGGCGGACTCGTTTACACTTCCAAGCTCAAGCCAGGCGCCGCAGGCCATATAAAGAGGAGCGCAGATTAAAATGGCGCCGCAGGCTCCCCCCGGGCCGTCCGCGCACAGACCACAGTAACCCTTTTTAAAAAACATCTATCACACACCACTAGGGTGTGGGGGAGCTCCGATCTCCCCACCTCCAATCCTCTCCCATCCACCAGCGTCGTCATCTTAGGCCGGGGATCCAGTCAGATCTCCGATCTCCATCTTCAATCTCCAATCTCCAACGTCGTCATCTTAGGCCGGATTCAGTCCGATCTCCGATCTCCATCTCCAATCTCCAATCTCCAATCTCGATTCGGGGGCCCGGGGGAGGAGGGGGGGCGGCTCAAACCTTTCAAGGAGATGCGCTGTGGATTCATTCACACTGACCATCTCTCGTCTCCAATCTCTACTTGGCCACTGTCGCCGCCGGCAGCAATCTACGACCTCCATTTTCAATCTTCGATCTCACATCTGGGGCGGATGGCTGGGCGCTAGGATCTACATATAAATTCTGCATTCTCCATCTCCCGTCTCCACATTTTGGCCCGTGTTGCTGCTCAGAGCGATCTGCAAGGACCACAAATCTCAATCTTCGATCTTTAGTCTTAAATGGGGAACCGGACAGGAGGGATCTACTGGCGAGACTTGGGCGTGTCCGTGTGAGAGATCCGCGCGGATCTCCAGTGGCTTAATCTACTATCTCTACCCCAACGATCTCCTGGTTCGGCTTGCGTAGAGATTTCCATTACTCACATCAGAAACAGAATGACCAGCAATCGGCGACAACTCGGTTATCTCCCCGCCGCCCCGTGCCGCCTGGGCGCTGGGGCGTGGTGGGGCGCGGCTGCCTCCTGCCTGGCGCCCCTGCGCACCGCCAGGATTCGCGCGGCGGAACATGGTGTTGAGTGCGCACAGATACGTTTGCGCGGACGACAAACAACAAGACACCCTCGCTGCCGATGTCTGACCAGCGCCCGCTCGCGCCTCTGACTTCAGACAGGGGGAACGCATCTAGCGACGAATCCGCCGACCCCACCGCTCCTGGACCGCTGCATGGGTGCTGGAGCAGCGCGCCGCACGGTTAGTAGCCGCCGCCTCCGCCGCCGGCCGGCTTGGGCGCGCCGCAGCGGAAGCAAGCGCTCTTCGAGGCAAACACGTTCGAGTTGCAGGACGGGCAGGTCCAGTCGCCGGGCCGCGTGTCCCCCCCTCCTCCTCCGCCTCCGCCTCCTCCGTACCTAGAGCAAGGGTCGCCGAGGTCAGGCTCGCGAGGGTCGGAGACCGGCGACGCGACCCGCCGCCGCCGCACCCGCCGCCGCCGTACCCTCCATACCCCCCGAACCCGCCGCCGCCGCCAGCAGCGCTGGCCGGCTTCGGCGTGTTGCACTTGAAGCACGCGCTCTTCGACGCAAACACGTTCCCCCCGCACCCAGGGCAAGTCCAGTCGCCGGGACGCACCTCGCCGCCGCCGCCAAAGCCCCCGCCGCCGCCGCCGCCGAAGCCCCCGTAGCCGCCGCCGCCGTACGGAGGGGGGGCGCCATAGCCGCCGCCGCCATAGGGCGGGGGCGGCGCGCCGTAGCCGTAGCCGCCGCCGCCGTACCCGCCCATGCCGCCCCCCATCCCCGCCGGCTTTGGCGCGTTGCAGCGGAAGCAGGCATTCTTCGAGGCGAAGACGTTGACGCCGCACGAGGTGCAGGTCCAATCGCCCGGCCGCGTGTCTCCGCCGCCCATCCCATACCCGCCGCCCATCCCGCCGCCCATCCCTCCGTACCCGTACCCGCCGCCCGTCCCCGGCTTGGGCGTGTTGCAGCGGAAGCAGCTCGTCTTGGACGCAAACACGTTCGAGCTGCAGGAGGGGCAGGTCCAGTCCCCGGGCCGCACGTCGCCGCCGCCCATGCCGCCGCCGCCAATCGGCGCGCTGCCGCCCGAGGTGCCCGGCTTGGCCGTGCCGCAGCGGAAGCAGTTCATCTTGGACGCAAAGACATTCGAGTTGCAGGACGGGCACGCCCAATCTCCGGGGCGCACGTCGCCGCCCCCGCCGCCGCCCATGGCGCCCATGCCGCCCATGCCGCCGCCGAAGCTCCCCTCGCCGCTGCCCTCGCCGCCCGCGCTGCGGCCGTAGCCATCCCTGCCGGGCGAGCGCGAGCGCGAGCGCGAGCGATCACGGCCGTCGGCCGGCTCGCGGTCCCCGTGGCCGCGAGCCTCGGCGTGCTCGCGGTCGCTCGACGCGGGGGGCGGCTCGCCTGGCGGCAATGGGGGTGGCTCCACTGGCAGCGGCGCGGTCTCCACCACACTCATGCTGCTTGCAAAAGTTTTTTTTTTTGGGCCTCCAAGCGTTAAAAACGATGGTGGAGTGCTCTCTACTGCCGCGGCGCCCCCTGTCGGTTCGGAGGCGCCCGGCGGCCGCGCGCTTGGTGCCGACGTCGACCGGCTGCTCTCGCGGCGCCGAGACGTGCCGCCGCTTCGGTCACGTCTCGCGCGCTGCGAGGTGTCTTTTGGCATGTGAGCGCTTGCCAAAGACGCCAGCAAGCTCGCCTTCCTTGCCTGCGGCCGCGGGCAGGTGGATGGCTGGGCGGGCGGCCGGCGGGGCCTGGTGGCTGTGCTCTCCTTGTGGCGGGGCGCGCGGTCCCGTGGAGGTTTGTATGGAGAAGTATAAACAAACCACAGAACACAACTTTTAACCTCCGCCGCGAAACGGCAAACACGCGGCGTATGAGGGCCGACGGCTCGCAGCTCTCTGTCACGAGCGACGGCAGCTCTTTCGTCGGCGCGGGCTTGGACGACACGACAGTGGAGGAGTTTGAAGACCTCGTGTTTGAGCTGCTCGACCCCGGTGGCACGGGTGTCAGTGCCACCACGCTGGTGAGGGCCTTGCAGGGCTGCGCTGTGCTCCCCAGCAAGAGGATTGCCGAGCTCGCGAGTGAGACGATGGTGTCCTCCTCCGCCGCCGCCGCCGACCTCGCCACCTTTCGCGGTTGCGTCGAGAGAATCGTCGAGGCGGCGGCGGCAGCGGCGCGGCAGTCCGCCGGCCACCGTCCTGCCGGCAAGGCGGAGGTGCTACTTGGAGTCCTTGGCTTTGTGCGGAGAGACGCCGCCGAATTTGGCGAGTTCAGACTGGCGGCTCGCGCCCAGGCGCTGGGCGATGCCATCAACCAGCGCGAGGAGTATAGCCGCCGGCAGGCGATGGACGAGCGGCACCAGGCAGAGGTGGAGCGGGCGAGGGAGGCGCAGCTCGAGCAGACCATCGCCTTCAATCGTACTTGGGAGGCGAACATGTGCGAGTTTGAGCAGCGGGCGCTCGAGGTGGAGGAGGAGCTGCGGGTGAAGCACAGCGACGAGGTGAGCAGTCCGCCGGCGCCGCCGCGGGGCTTCAAGTGCTCTCGCGAACTCCTCGCGCTCAAGCGGTCGGTGGCTGTGCTGGCGAAGATGGGCAAGTACGAGGAGGCGGAGCGGGCCAAGAAGAAGGCAGATCGGCTGGAGGCGATCGAGCTGACGAGGATGGACCGCAGGCAGGGCGAGGAGGCGGCCGCGAGGGAGGCGCGGCTCCGACACATCCAGCAACAGCAGGTGGACGGGCTGCGGAGGCGCGTCGATCGCGGGCGGACGGAGCACAAGGAGCACTGGCGGCAGGGCGCGGAGCGGCTGCGGCAGTCGCACCGCAACTCGATGGCCGACCTCTGCGCGCGGCACACCCTCGAGCGATCCCGCGCCGAGATTGCGATCAAGCTCGAGATTGGGGCGAGCCGTGCGAGGAGCCGCCGCAGGAGCTTTGCCGACGCGGCGCCGCGGGTGGACACGGGGCAGCCGCCGAGGCCAAAGGCGCGGAGCCCGTGAGGGGGGGGAGGGGGGGGGGGGGGGGGTTGCGGTTAATATATGGCGCGAACAATATCTAGTCACCCGGATAGCTCCCCGGCGATTCGGCCCGCGTCGCGGGGGCGCGGCGACGGCCCGCACAACAAGGTCTGTCGTTTGTGTTTTCTGTGAACAGCGACTCGGAGTGGCGTGCGATTCGAAAAGGTCCAGAATCGATGAACTCTCCTACCTACTCCCGCCTCGTCTGCGGCGGCGCGGCGCCGGCGGTGGCGCCGGCACGGGCGTTGATGCTGCCGATGCTGTTTCTGCTGTTTGTCCCGCCCATTCTCGCCCAGCCGGTCCCCCAGATACTTCGGATCTCGGCACTCACTCCACCGCCGCCGCCAGCGCCGCCAGAGCCACCAGAGCCGCTGCCTCCTCCGTCGCCACCCCCCAAACCGCCGCCGCCGCCGCCACCGGCACCGCCGCCGACGCCTCCGCCGCCTTCGCCGAGCCCACCAAAAGTCCCGGTGCCACCCGCGCCGCCGCCCACACCGCCACAGCTGCCGGCGCCGCCGCAGCCGCCGCCGTCGCCGTCGCCGCAGCCACCGTCGCCCCGGAGGCCGCCGCCGCCGTCGCCGCCGCCACCACCATCGCCGCCGCCCCCACCGCCGCCATCGCCGCCGCCACCCGCCCCGCCGCCCCCACCGCCGCCATCGCCGCCGCCACCCGCCCCGCCGCCGCTGCTGCCGCCATCTGCGCCGCCGCCGCCGCTGTCGCCGCCGTCGTCACCACCGCCACAAGCCCCCCCCCCTCCGTCGCGACCGCCCGACTACCCGGGTGCGCCCCGCTCGCCCCCGCCTCTGCCGCCGTCGCCTAGGTCTCCCCCTTCCTTGCCGCCGCCTACGCCGCAGCCGCCCTCGCCCAGCCACCCGCCCTCGCCGCCAGTCTCGCCGCCGCCCTCTCCGCCGCCATCGCCACCCAGCTCACCGCCTCCTTCCCCGCCTCCGTCGCCATCGCTGCCTCCGTCGCCGCAGCCTCCGCCCTTGCCGTCGGCTCCTCCGTCGTCACCGCCGGCACTGCCGCCGCCGCCGCCGTCGCCGCCACCGCGTGCCCCGCCGCCGCCGTCGCCTCCGCCGCCAGCGCCGCCAGGCTCACCACCGCCGCCCTCGCCGCCGCCGGCGCCGTCCAGGCCTCCGCCACCGCTCCCGCCGCCCTCGCCCCCTCCCTGGCCGCGGGTGCCGTCCTCGTGGAGCCTCGCAGGGCGCGACACGTTCGAGTCGTGTGGCACAGACCTCTGGGACGTCTGCTCCGACGGCTGGTCCTCGGACGCATTCTTCAGCAGCGGCGGCTGCCGTTCGGCCGCACACCGCCGCGGTGGGCAGCTGAGCCTTCTCGGACCCGTCTCTCTCGAGCCTGTAGGCGGGTTTCGGCCGAGCACTACAACGTGCGGCGACTTGGGCCGCGTGCTCGGAGGATACCGCTCGGCGGGCGCCGGTGTCTCGGTCGCCTTTCCAGCGCTGCGGGACGGGGCGAGGGAGGCTGGACGCAGCGCTGACGTGCCGCATATGCGATTGTCCCCCCACACAGGTGCGCAAGACGTTTGAGCTGTTGCCGCACACGGTGCTGCGTCTGGAGCTCGAATTTGTGAAGATCGACTCTTGGGACCGGGAGAAGGCCTTCATCGAGGTGGACGGGGTGCGCGTCTGGGAGCAGATCTTCCTGTACTGGGAGGGCGACAGGAACCATTGCGGCGACGCGAGGCGACAAGCGCCTTGGGATAGCTGTAGCGGGTCGCCTAGTCACCAGTGGCTCTGGAGGCGAGGGCAGGCCCTGAGGGGGAGGGGGGTGAGCAGCCGCGTGCAGCTGCCTCTCACTTCTCACGCCTGCCCATCGACCAACCCCGCCCAACCTTGCTCCAGCCCCGCCCCCCGCCCCCGCTCTTGTAGGTTCCCGGAGATGGCGCCTCTTCCTCTCTCGCTGATCGCGGCGTGCGCCGGTCTGGACGCCGGGACCGACTAGGGACGCTCTGGCTGTAGGTCCAGCCCGTCGACATCACCCTCGCCCACCGCCGCTCGACCGCAACGGTCCGCATCGGCTCCTCCCTCTCGCACACCGCCAAGTACGAGTCGTGGGGCGTTCGCAACGTCCGCCTCTCGGTCCGTTTGCCCGAGCCACCGTTGCCGCCGCCGCCGCCGCTTCCGCTTCCGCCCCCCTCCTCGCCCGCGCCGCCAAGCCTGCCCTCGCCACCCTCGCCACCTCCTTCGCCTCCGCCGCCATCGGCGCCACCACAGCCGCCGCCGTCGCTTCCGCCGCCGCCGCTGCCACCACCACCGTTGCCGCCGCCTTCGCCGCCGCTGCATCCGCCTCCGCCGCCGTTGCATCCGCCGTTGTTTCCGCGATATACGCAACCTCCGCTTCCTCCACCGCGGTCGCCGCCGGCGCGGCCGCCGCCGCCCCTCCCGCCGTCCGTCCCGCAGAGGGTCTGGATCTTCGTCCCTGCCGGCGGCCCTCGGGTAGCGACGGCACATCCGCCACCACCGCCTCCCTTGCCGCCGCCCCCTCTCTTGCCGCCGCCGCCGCCGCCGCCGCTTCCGCCGCCGCCGCCGCTTCCGCCGCCGCCGCCGCTTCCGCCGCCGCCGCCGCCGCCGCTCGTCCCGTTCGTCCAGCTCGTCGAGCTTGGCAGCCTGAGCAGCCTGAGCAGCCTGAGCCTGCCTGCCAGTCTCCCGCTCGACGAGCGCACCGCCCTGCTGGCTCTCGTCGCTGGCGCGGGCCTCGTTGGCCTCCTTCTCTACCGCAGGCACTCGTCCCTTCAGCCGTCCACCACCCGCTGGCAGAGCATGGTCGAGGCGGACATGGTCGAGGAGGACGAGGTCGCGCCTCCGCCGGCAGCGAAGCGAGGGGCTCCTCACTACGACGACAACGACCCATTCGCGCTGCCGCTGGCACGGCCGGACGAGCGGTCGCAGCAGGGGCGGTCGCGCCGGGCTTCGGCGGCCGACCTGACTGGCCAGCCGGTGATATACGAGTGGGAGTCGGGAGGAGGCGAGCTCACCGCAAGCACTCTCATCCGCCCCGAGGCCGGCGGCAAGGTCACGCAGGAGCCGACAGGCGACGACGGCCTCCCCATCGTCCCCTTCAACGCCATGGCCATTCCGCGGGGCCCGCCGCGCGGGTTGAGCGCAGGCGACGGGCTGCCGGAGGTCCCTTTCGAAGGATGGCGCACAGGCGGCCCTCGCGCTGCAGGATCCGGAGGGCCACACAAGTACTCCCTCTGAGAGGCACCTACCTGATTGGTTCCGCGCCCCGAGGGTTAGGGGCGGCACGGACGGACGCGGCAGCGAGATGGCAGCAAGCAAGCGCGTGCGCAAGCATCCCCGCGAACGGACGGACGGGGTGGTCGCTGCCATTAATTAGCACATGCTCATGCAAACCACGCCGATACGGACGGATACCGTGTACACGGACCTCCCTCTAGAATCTTAAAAGCCGTGCCAAGTGCCAACCGTGTCTCGTGTCTGTCGCTTCCCTACGACCTAACGTACCGGGGACAAAGACAAAGACAGCAACACCCAACACTATCACAGAGCCGTATGTGACACTAAAAAATAGATAGAGAGACAGAATACTAGACCCTAGACCCTATAGAGAGCAGAGTGAGATCTGAGAGTCCAGAGACGGGAGACACGGAGTCGGAGTAAGCAAACGGAGTACGGAGAGTGCCCACAGAGCCCCCAGCCAGCCCCCCCCGGCCCCGCCCCGCGCACGACCTAGAGCTAGACGAACGAGCACATCTTCTCGGTTCACACGTTCACAGGTGGCATAATTAGAATTCAATCATTGTTATCACATAAATCACATTATTCAGCTGATTTTTGCAGCAAAAACAAGAGGAAAAGCATCTGACTGCTGGCCAAGGCGGCCCAAATAAATAAGTAAGTAAGACGCGGCCCTCCGTATACGCGATTGCTCGCCGACCGACGCGCAGCATGATGACGAGCCCACGGTCCACCGATACATCGGGCCGTTTGCGAGCATACAAATGACGAGATTCGCAATCAAGAGACACCTTGCAGCGCATACAATTGTATCGGAAACGATGACTTGCCAGAGTGGATCGACACATCGCCGCCGCCGTCACCGGGCTCATCGGCTTCCGAGTCGCCCAAGCGACAGCGAATGGCAATCGATGGACGCCGCTTCTGGAGCAACTCAGTTAATCGCGACATGCTGCGCGTTGCGCGCGGGCAGAGCTATGCCGGCAACATGATCTGCCTCGCACCCGGTCTTCACGTCTCCAAATTTTCGCGCGGGCAGAGCTTAGGCGATCCGTCCGATTCGGAGAACGAGGGCGAGGGCGAGGAGGAGGCGGAGGCGGAGGAGGAGGCGGAGGCGGAGGACGAGGACGAGGACGAGGACGAGGACGAGGACGAGGACAGCGACAGCGGCGACAAACCCCTCACGCTAAAGGTCAACCTCACGACGGAGGTGGAGAGGGAGGTGGACCTCTTCTTGGAGTCGGAGAGGAGGAGCAGTTCACCTTCGAGGAGTTCTACTGCACGCTGCCCCCGTGGGCGCGCGGCCGGCAGAAGGAGGTGCTGGCCGCGCTCAAGCGGCTCGTCAACGGCTACACAGTGTGTCGCCGGCGAAGCTAATCATGGACGACGACGACGACCAGAGCGTGGACATGGACGAGCTCGTGTTCCGACCCAATCCTGAGCGCGGTCTCGAGCTCAGCAACTCGGACGACGTCACGAGGAGTGATTAGACGGGGAGAGGTCGCTTGGTGTCTCTAGTATTTCGAGATGCTAATTTATTCACAGCTGCGGCGAGCGTCGGTGTGCGGTGTGACCCTCGAGCCAACCCGACCGACCCCCCCCTCGGTCTGCGCTCCGACCGACCGGACCCCCCCTGCGGTTTGCGGTCTTCCGCGGCCGCCGACCGGACCCCCCCTGCGGTCGGTCGGTCTGCGCTGGGCGCTCAAACCGCGAACTCGGCCTGCTCACTACAAGATGACGCTCGTATGAGAGAGAAGCAGAAGGCCTCTAGGGGCCTAGAGAACACACACCCCTCTCCCTTTTCTCCCATTCAGCTAACAGTACTACACTGAAAAACAGTCAACGGCCTCGAACGACAACTAGGAGGACACGTCCGTCCCCACACATGTGTGTACAAAACATGAAGTGCCGAGGTGATGCTCCCCGATGGCCGCATTGCGCGGCTCCCGCGCCAGCTGACCTGCCTGGCCGTTCCACGCCTGCGAGTTCCGGCCAACAGCTGGTATGCGACCCCGCCATCTCCTTCACGTCGTCGCCTCTGCCACCAGCAGTCGCCGTCTTTGCCAACAACCCAAAGGTGACGCCTGGCACCGTGCGACGCGTGGCGGCGCAACTCTGCTGTGCGGGGCGACAGCCATGCACGCCATCGGCGAATGACTGCGCTGCGGTGCTGCTAAATCATGGCTGCCTGCGCGATGCTGTCTTTGAGCACTTCCCTCGTGTCCTCTGGTTCTCACGCCGGATGCCCTTTACAAGCGACGATGTGACCTGGTCCCGCGCCATCAACGGCGCGAAAGCGATCCGCGAGGCAATCCGTGGCGCGTTGCCTCGTCCCCCACTGGACCTCTTCCTAATCTCTAACGGACCGAGCTGGATCACGCACAAACGAGGCCACGCCCAGAAGATCCAAGACGCCGCTATTCGCCCACCCACTACACGAACGAACGCTCTGCTTTCCGGGGAAAACTTGGAGCTGCACTCCTGTAGGCGCACGCTACGGGCCCTACGACTTTCGAGAGGACACCTGGCGAATAAAGAGGGCGGCAAGGGCGCTACGTGCGCTCTTCTTTGGTCACAACTACTCCGTCCTGACCGAGCGTGGGCTGAAGGGAGCTCTGGGCCTCAGTCGCCTCTCGCCAAGTGCGAAGCTGCCGCTGGGTGAAGACGGTCAGCCAATGCATGGGGTCAACCTCTCCATGTCGACTGGCTTCCTTGCCTCCGTTGCGCTGTTGACGCTCAAGCCCTTCTCGCCCGAGCAGGTTCGCGGCCTCTTCCCGGTCGGCTTTACGCGGCACCTCCGCACCAACGCGGATGGCACGGCGCCTGGCGAGTGGCCGAGGCATCCCTACCGTGTCGAGAGGGAGTACATGCGCTGCCTCGGCCGACTCAATACGACGTTTGAATCGACATAGCCAAGCGTGAGGTATTTTCTTCTCAATAACAAGGTCTGGTGTTTGGCATTGGGTTTGTTTCGTGCCAGCACGCCGGTCACATCTTCTTTCGGGACGGGCGTAACTTCCCGATCGATCGGCGACGGGGCGACGGCCTTCGCCAGACATGAGCTCCGAGAAAAAATGTGACGGTTCCGCGGCGGCAGCTTTCCTGGCCGCGATGGCAACTGGCACGGTCGGTGCTGTCGCCACCAAGACAATGTTCATGGTCCACGCTGTTGGGAGCACTGGTGAGATGGAGCCGTTCACCCCTCCGCTGTACTTTACGCTGGTGATGTTTGTTGGCATGGCGCTCGCACTCCCTTGGCACTTTTGGGAGAGCCGTGGCAGCGAAGAGCCTGGGCCCAGCCTCGGGCTGATCGCGCTGCTGTGCGTGCCGGCGCTGCTTGACATGATTGGCACCGCAATCCTCATGCTCGGCCTCCTGCTGATCCCTCTTTCGGTCAACAACCTCCTGCGCGGCTCAATCATCATTTTCGTGGCTGGAGCGAAGCAGTTTGTGCTGGGCGACCAGCTGACAAAGCCGATGTGGGCGGGCGTCGGCGTGATCACAATCGCAATCACAGTCATCGGTGTGGCTGCAGTTGGCAACGGGGGCGGCGGCGCCGGCTCGGGCGATGCCTCAGGCCTCTTGGCGGGGGTGGCGCTGACGATCGTCGCCACCCTCGTCTCGGCCGTCCAATTCGTGGCGGAGGAGAAGCTCATGTCCAGCCTTTCGGCTCCTCCTATGCTCCTCGTGGGGATGGAGGGCCTCTGCGGCACCGTCCTGACTCTCTTTGTCGCCTACCCGATCTACTACTACATCCCCGGCGCCGACCACGGCCACTTTGAGGACCCGTGGAACACGATCGCGAAGCTGGGCAACTCGACACCCGCCGTGCTGCTCTCCCTCGCCGCCATGCTCTCCACCTTCCTCTTCAACGTGTTCTCGATGCTCGTGACGCACAAGCTCTCGTCTGTTTGGAAGGCCATCTTGCAGAACATCAGGCCGGCCAGCATCTGGCTGACGCAGCTCGCGCTCTACTACTACGTCACTGACGGCGCGTTTGGAGAGGCCTGGCTCGGGCTCGCCTCCTGGGTGCAGCTGGCCGGAATGCTGATGCTCCTCCTGGGCATGGCGGTGTACAATGGCAACATCACTCTGCCGGGGTGTGCCGACGACACCGTAATGTCGCCCATGACCGACGACGCAAAGGTCAGGGCGAGCACGGCCGACGCAGACACGAGGCCGATCATCAGCCGCGCCTCCGTCCGGCAGAGCGGGCTCTCGAAGAGCCTGCTCCCGAAGTGAGTGAGTGGGCGGCACCGTCGGGACCCGGTCGGACAAATGATGTGATGATGCGTGCGCGCGGGCCTTCTAGGCCCGCGGGTAGTCTCCCCCCATCCCCAGGGCCTCCAGGGCTCGCACCTCAACCTCTCACAGACCAGCGCATAGCGCCATAGGACGTATTTTCTTCTCATAACAAGGGTACAAGGCTGTGAAGAGCGGAGTGTGTCCAGGGAGTGCCTGATCACGAGGAGTGCTGCTCGCACGATCTCTGGCGCTGCCCATGTCCTCGCGCTCCAGCCTTCTCTTCCTGATCCTCTGCCTATTATCATCCGTGCAGTCAGCTCTGGTCTCGGGTGTGACTGCTGTGGCCGCCCGACTTCGCGGCTCACCTGCAGCCGTGAGGCCACGCGCCTCCGCTGCCACATGCCGGGCTCCAGCGAGCCGGCGGCACGCGCCAGGCTGCTCTTGCCCTTCGTGCCTCGGTCACGGCGCCGACTGCGCATGCGGCGCGTGCTCCAGGCATTCTAAATCAGACTGCAACTGCCCGGCCTGCCTCTTGATGATGATGAAGATGGTTTGAGTCGTGCGTTTTCGCTTTCGCCACAAGTGCGACACCCCATCGACTGCAACGGCTCCGGTCGCTGCCCCACGGCTGTCGACGCCGATGAGTACGGGGCGCGAGTGCGGCGGCGGCCGTAGAGAGCCGTGTCGTACGCTGCTGACTTGCGCGGACCCTTCTCCCTCTTCCCGTCCTGCGGCGTCATGTATTAAATTTTACCTTGCATTCGCGTTCCAAAGAGCGTCTCAGCTCACGGACGACAGGGACGTCACTGGAGTGTCTCACACGAGCAAGAGCAGAGTTGTAGCGTAGAATAGCGCACACACGGACATGCGCACGCGCGAGCGACGTCCCCGTCGCGGTGTCGACTCACGCGACTGTCGAGTCTGCTGTCGTGTGTCGACGCTCGACGGGGACGAGAGCAGGAGAGACTGGAGAGTGGACAGAGGTGCCGCCGCGCGCGGTGTGCAAGCGCTGCACGCTGGGCCCGCTTAGCGGCGGTCCCAGAACATCTGGTAGTCGCCACAGCCGGCCATCGCCTTGAGCTGGTTCCGGTTGATGAGAGGCCGCCCCTCGGTGGTCTCCATCTCGATCTTGCTGCTCTGGAAGGGGTTGAGGCCGGCGCAGCAGGCGCACGCGGGCGAGTCAGTCTCTGGCATGGCGCAGAGCACATACTTTGTGTTCGTGTTTGCGAAGAAGGTGTGGCCGAAGAGGATGCCCTTGCTGCTGCGGTCCCAGCACTTGCCCTGCGAGTAGTTTGCGCGGGGCCTCTTGTCGGCAAGGTCCCAGGCAAAGGAGCGGAAGGATCGCTTCCGCTTGAGCGCCATCGAGTAGACAAAGTGCCTACGGCGGGCGGCGAGGCTCGCTCACACCGCGTGGCGAGGCGCCGCCGGGCTGGCGGGTGGGCGTGCGTCGCGACGAGCATGTGCTCCGCAGGGCCAGGCGCCGCCATCGTCAAGCCGTACTCGGTCGGCGGGACGAGGCACTCGGTCCTGCGGGGAAGGGTGCGGGGAGGGTGGGGGGAGGGGTCAGAGCACGCCCCTGCACTCGGTCGACGCCAGGCGCGCGGGCCTGGCAGCGCGGCCGGGCGTCGCCTTCTCGAGCAGGACGCGCGGCGAGCGCACGTGCGTGAGGCAGCCGCGCCCGAAGAGCCAGTCGGGGGCGAGGGCGATCCGCTCGGCCCGCGCGACGGAGGGGCCGATGCTTGTGGGGTCTGGTGGCGGTGCGACGTACTGGACGAGGTGCGCCGCCTTGGCTCGCTCCTTGTACTGCTTCTTGCACACGGGTCGCAGCATGCCGGCGAGAGTGCACTTGTGCGTGCCCGCCGCGTAAAAGGTGGGGTGCTTGTCGCCGGCGACGACGAGCCACTTGTCGCGCGGCTTGCTCCGGTCGGGGAGCGGGACGGAGAGGGCGGAGACGGTGTCGCGCATCAGCTGCTGGTCGATGAGGGCCTGCAGGAAGGGCTCCGGCACAGGTACAAGGCGGGGCTCTTGGGGAGAGCGCGTCTCGCTGCCGGCCGAGCGAGTGCGTTCGGGTCCGGCTTGCCTCCGAGGTGGGGAGGCTTGCGGGGCGGCCCGTCGAGTAGGGCGACGAAGCGGGCCCAGGTGCCGTTGATCACGTGGTACGCGCCTCCGCCCGGGCCGGACCTCACGTAGACGAGGCCTGGGCCGGGCAGCGGATGGGGAGGGGGTGGGCAGGAGCAGGGGATGGGGCGGGGGGGTGGGGCAGGGGCGGATGGGAGGAGGTCGAGGAGGGGCGAGTCGACGGGGCCGAGAGGCGAGGGACGGACCGCAGTTGAGCAGCGCCGTCCCGCGGTGCACGCCGCAGTCGTCGCGCTCGTCCTTGCGCCTCGTGCAAGAAGGCCTCTCCCCGAGCGGGCCGCCAAAGTCCTGCTGCACCACCATCGCCGCGTCCTTGAAGTAGGGCCCGTTGAGGACCGCGTAGGGCGACTCGGCAAAGTAGACGTCCGTGTCGGCGCGGATCACGTCGTACCCGCGCTCGAGCGCCGCCGAGACGTACCGCCACTGCTGCTGCCAGATGAGGAACATGTCGCCCGGCACGAGGCCCCACCGGGCGAGCCCCGGGTGGTTGTGCCACAGCGTCGACCAGGCGCACGAGAACTCGCACCGCTCCTCCTGCAACGACTTGCAGAGCGCCGGCGTGGTGAGGATCCCGTGGTAGCCGAGGTTGAGCGCGCGCAGGTTGGCGAGCAGGTTGAAGAGAAACTCGCTCGAGATGGTGCGCAGCGCCGGGTCCTTGCTCTGCCTCCGGTGGTCGCGCGTGTCTCCCACGGACAGGAAGATGAGGTGCTTGTAGTAGGGCGTGACCCTGCTGCGAGCGCTCAGGAACTCCTCGAGCACGCCCGGCGCCTCCAGGTCGCCGCCCGCAAATTGCCTCTCGGAGTCCACGACGTGCTTTGTGCACTTGCCCGCGGATAGAGCCGCGACGGCGGCGAGAGACAGCATCCGCTATATGCTCCTGCGGCAATGTCTCAGGAAGCGTTTGGGCGGACCACGACAGCGAAGGAGGGTGCGTCGGGCGGCCGCTTGTGTCCCGCTCCAAACTCGCGGCGGATAAAAACACTGTCGCAACACCGCCAGCGACAAGCGTGTAGAGAGAGAGAGAGAGAGAGAGAGAGAGAGAGCGTGTAGATCATCCCTCCCTTGGGTTGTCTGTTTTCTTTCTTTCTTTTACAAGCGTGTAGAGAAAAAGAGAAAAAGAACCGGTTAACATGACTCGAGACGGCAAAAAGAAGTAAAACTTTTTTGGGCACTGGCATTTCTTGTTGGTCTTTAAAAATCTCTTAACACAGGACACAGGTACACTATTCTTCGAGTCCAGTGAGCAGTGTCGTGCGAAAAAGAATTTTACGAATCGTCGGACGTCGCACAACCCACACTTGGGTTGTCTGTTTTCTTTCTTTCTTTCTTTACCCACACTGGGCATCTCTGGCGCGCACTGGAGTGTGTGTTGTGCGAAAAGAAAACGCGCGCCCCCCGGCTTATTCCTTATAGCCAACCCTCCCTTGCAATAAATAAAAAGCAGACACACTTCATCCCGGGCCACGCCACACCTTGACCACAAAGTCGGCGCTGCACGTGGCGAGCAGCGGCTCGTGGGGGTGGAAGCTGGTCGCGTAGACCCGGTCCGCGTGCCCGTCGAGCACCTGCACCAGCTCGTGGCTCACGCCGCCGCCCGACGTGCTGCCGTCTCCGTTGAGGCGTCGCTGCGCGTACCCGCCGCCCGCGCCGCTGCTCAGCGAGTAGAGGTAGGCGCGGCCGTCGGCGCTCCCCGTCGCGACCAGCGCCGTCTCGTGGGCGAGCGGGCGGGCGGGCGAGTCGAGGGGGTCGTCGGCGTCGCTCTGCATCCTGCAAAGGGGCGGGGGCGGGGAGTCCCGCGGGGTGGGCGGAGGTGGCAGTGGGCGGCGTGTGTATGCGCGCGCGCGAGTGCGAGTGAGTGCGCGAGCGTATGTGTTGAGTGTGCGAGAGAGAGCGCCTTTTCGGAGCGTGTGTGACGCGGGAGAGGGGGCGTGGGGAGGGGGGGGGGTGGGGAGGGGGGGGGCGAGGCGGCCTCGCGCCTCGCGCACGCCTCCCCGACGGAGAAGGAGCACCGGATCGGCCACGCGCGGTTCCGGTGGCCCCGCAGCTCGCAGAGACGCCTCCAGCGCCGCCGCCCCTCGCCACCCGCCCCTCCCCCGTCCCGCCTCGCCGCCGCCGCCGCGCCGCCCGCCGCGCCGCCCGCCGCGCCGCCCGCCTCGCCCTCCGCCGCGCCGCCCGCCGCCGGCACGGCGAGGATCCGGACGGTGTCGTCGTAGCTGTTGGCGGCGAGCAGCCGCTGCCGCGCGCCGTCGTGACCCCGCCACGCCTCGGGCGAAACCTCGAGGTGCGAGATCGGGCGCGCCGGCCCACCCGAGTCGTCGACGCGCTGCTGCCTGCTGCAGCGGCCGGTGCGCACATCCCACGCCTTGAGCGGCCCGTCACACGGTCAGCAGGATGCAGTACTCTGCGAGACTGCGGGCAGGTCTGCGGGCAGGGTGTGCCGCGCCTTGAGCAGCCCGTTCCGGTCGCCAGTCAGCACCTCCTCGTCGGAGGCGGAGGCGACCGCCTGCAGCAGGCTCTCGTTCTGCACGGAGAGGCACGGCTGCTCGCCGCGCCGCCGCCGGTCGTACTGCAGCAGCGCGCCTGCAGGAAGGTTCCGAGAAGGCTCCGAGGCGGCTGCATGCCGCCGGTCGCACACTGCCGGTAGCACACCGCTCGAGGTGGCCGCCCAGCAGAGGTCGCCGCGACAGGCGACGGAGAGGACCAAGGCGCCGCCCACGTCGAAGCAGGAGACGCACTGCGAGCGGCCCACGTCCCAGAGCCGCGCCGTGTGGTCGAACGAGCCCGAGAGCACCGCCGCCGAGTCGGCAGAGAAGCAGAGGTCCGTCACAGAGTGGCTGTGCCCGCGCAGTGTGGCGACCGGCTCGCCGCCGCGGCTCCACAGGCGCGTCGTGTGGTCGAACGATCCCGACGCGAGGAGCCGGCCGGTCGGCGAGAACCGGACGGCGTACACGGCGCCGCTGTGCCCGTTGAGGTCGAACAGCGGCTCAAACCCGCGGCCGTTGCCGCCGTCGCCGCCGTTGCCGCGCTTGTGGTGGCCGGAGCGCGACGAGGGCGACCCGTCGCCACGCGAGCTTGCGGCCATCGCCGTCGCCGCGGCGATGGCATGCGACTCGTCCACAGCCCGCTCGCCGGCGCTGCGCTCAGCCGCCGGCGCGTCTGCGTTCGCGCTGGGCCGGGCGAGGGCAGCGCTCAGCCGCATCGAGAGCTCGTAGAGCGAGCGCTTGAGCTCGGCGTTCTCCTGCTCGGCCTTCTCGAGCCGCTGCCGTATCGAGTCCTCCGGCGGCATCGAGCTCGGCTACGAGTAGGAGTTTGTGTTCGCAACACCTGCCGCAACACGGTCAGAAAGAGAAACACAGCGTTCGACAGAAAGAGAAAAGATAGCGTCGCATAACAAGGGACACTCGGCCAATAGGACAGCCGAGAACCCGAACAGAAAAGAATTCTTCCCCGCACACCTCTCCTGCGGTTTCTACTCAGAGCGGTGGTTGAGGCCGATTGCCTCAACTGTCAACCACGTGGTTGACAGAGGCCTCAACCCTCAACCAAGTGGTTGACAGACCCCTTCAACCCCTCAACCACGCGGAATGGCTGTTCACACCCCCGCGCAAAGGTCTGAACACACATTCTCTGTGAACCATTCATGTCGTCTTCTTTAACGCCTGGATGCTGCATCACACCTCCCATTCACGCACGTAGCTGAAGCAAGTATCGTAAAAACGGCGCGTCGAAGGCCCCCGCACGGGGGGATCCCGGCCGACGTCATGGTCGTCCGCGGACGCGGCCCTCCGTCTCCGGAGACATTACCGAATTCAAAACTGCTTACCAAAGCCAGATACGAGCTCAGCTCAGTGAGATCTAGCAGCACATACCCTCAGTATCCAGAATAGCAAAGTCTGAAAAAGTCGGTCCGACCGCGCAGAGCGGTCTGGCTGTCTGCAGAGCTTCCGTCCGAGCCCTGAGAAATGTCGGAGGCATGTCGGCCCATGTTCGCGATTTTGATGGCGTTGCCCTTATTGCACGTGAAACAGACCGCGCCGGCCACGCACCCTTGTTCCCGGAGGCCAACTCGAATAGGTTTGAGCAATGGCCGCCTTCCATGCTCGACACGTCCGCCCGCCAACCCATCAAGTTGTACGATGAAAAATGCAGCAGGAACTTAGTTGCCTCGAAGGCCGCCCTGCTCGAAGGCCGCCCTGCTCTCGGCATTGTGTTGTTGACTGATAGCACTGTCTGATCCAACCAGAAAGAGCCGTCGAAGAGCCGTCGAGAGCTACATGAGACCCAAGTCGTCATGATGTACCAGAAAACGAAACTAGCGCCAAAATTGAGATCTCAGGATTGACATTAATTTCTCGCGCCTGCTTTCGCTGCTTGAGGCTCGCCAAACAGATTACAGATACTGCGTCTATGGCCGTGTGCAACGTCAAGTCGTTATATAACCGCGACAAGACCATCGCGCCAACCGCGACTCTGTTGCTTTTATGCGGCAGCATTCACCGTGACTCTTGCCGTGAATGGTTAGTGACCGCAATACTACGCCGTGAGCTGAGCTTCACCAGCCGTTTCTCTTCCTTCCCTTGCCTTCTCTTGCCGTCCGTTCTCTGTGCGCATTCCACGCGCGAGCCTGTGAATAGGCCCCGGAGGCCTCAACCCCCAACTAAAGGGTTGACGGGGGGTCTCAACCGTCAACCAGCTGGTTGAGGGGGGGCCTCAACCCTCAACCCGTCAACCACCCCTCTGAGCAGAGCGGTTTGCTGTGCCGCCGCAGCTGACTCTGTGTCAAGCACGAACCCACATCTGCCTATGCGCTTCGGGTGCAAGACACGGTTCATGCTGCTGCGCCAAGTCCGAGGTCACGCCCACGTGCCTGCGGCCATGCCTGCTGCCATCGCCGCCGCCGCTGCCGCCATCCGTGGGCCGCAGCAGGCCGCCTACGAGGAAGCAGGCTTCACTAGACGGAGCGTGCGGATGCCGTCTGGCGAAGAGGTGTCCTATCTCTCCCGCCGCAGCACCACTGACCCTCCCGAACGGTGTGTCGTCTTTCTGCACGGCATGACCTCCGATGCACTCGGCTCGGCGGCCGCCGTCGTCCCAATCGCGAGCCGGCAGCCGCCCGGTGTGCGAATCCTCGTTCCCGACGCCGCTGGCCACGGAAAGAGGCACGCATGGGCGGTCCGCTCCAGCTGGGAGGGCCTCTCGCTCGACGACCACATGTCTGACGTCGAGGCGTTCTGCGCGGCCGTTGGAGCGTCTGACGGCACCGTGCCGGTGGACCTCGTGGGGTACTCGATGGGCGGCGCGACAGCATTCGCGCTCGCAGCGCGGCACGTCAACGGCTCGGCGCCGGCTGCTAGCAGGTTGCCCGTGCGTCGCGTCGCGCTCCTCGCGCCGGCGCTGCTGGTGACGCAGGAGCTGTACGCCATGACGCTCTCCGTCCAGCGCCACGGCGGCGTCGAGCGCTGCGTGTACAACTACCGCACCGAGGCGGAGGCGGAAGAGATGCTTCGCCTCGTGGGGTACGCGGAGCCGCTCTGCGAGAAGCTCGCGCCGGTGCTGGCGTGGGGCCGCCGCGACCAGCCGCCTGACTTTTGGTGGAAGATGTGGCGCGGCCTCGGCGGCGTGCAGGCGTTCGGCGAGGGCGAGGTAGACGCGGCCGTCGACGCCAAGCGGGCGGCGCTAGCCTCCTCCGGGAGCGTCCTCGCCGAGGCGGCGACGCCGGTGCTCGTCGTCCAGGGCAGCGCGGAGCTTGTGGTCGACGCGTCTGTGCCCAGGGAGGTGCGGAGGGCCGTCGGCAGCGCGTGTGACGTGGCGACGCTCGAGGGGTTCGGCCACCGCGGTCACCCGACGGACGCGTCAAAAGACTTTCTGACGGCGGCGGGTCAGGTCGTCGGGCCCTGGCTGGGACGGTGAACGTCTAACTCTGAACATTTAACTTTCAGTTTCACACTCGTGACGCGAAAATTTCTGTCTCTTCCGACTCCGCTCCGCCTCGAGCACTTCCACTTGGAGCACTCGGAGCACTTGGAGTGCAGTTACAGTTAGTAACCGCACGCCCAGGACCGGGGAGCCAGAAAGAAACACTGAGCGCGTAAAATTCTTCTCACGCAAGAGTTGCGAACGACCCGGACCCGCCCGCCGCACCGCTAAGGTCCCGCTCTCTTTGGCTTCAGTACCGAGCGGTCGCAGCTGCGACGCGACCGAGGAGCGTCCAGATGCGAGTGGCTCCACCTGGGCGTTACGCACCTATGCCTGCCAGCGAGCCCAAGCTCGAGCTCGGTGAGCCTGACGCAGATGGCGATGCCACACAGGCCAGCGAGCCCAGCGGACAGTCTGCGGTGTCAATATGGTGGCTGAAGCCAGGCCCGGCCGCGGGTATGTGCTTTGCTCTGGCATCGATCCTGCTGCTGGCGTCGCTAGCGCTCGCAGCGACTGCAGCCGCCAGCCAGCCACACCCTGCCTCGACAATGTCGCACGCCCAGGGCCCGTCGCCACCAGTCGGCCCCCTGCAGCCACCGCCACCGCCGCCGCCGTGGCCGCCAGCCCCGCCGCCTCCCCAGCCGCCACCGCCATGCGCATGGGCAGTCGGTCTATTAAATCTGCGCGAGCTCGAGCCGCCGCAATGGTGCTCCTCCCTCAGGGGAGACGAGGCGGGCTGCAGCCGCGCCTTTGTCTCCTCCGACGGAAGTTACCTGCGCTGCCACTACGTGGCCGGTGGAGCCTGCGCCGCGAGGGACGCGGAGGCCTGCCCGTCGCCGCCTTCGCCGCCGCCCCCACCGCCCTCGCCTCCGCTACCTCCTCCCCCCCCGCCTCCCATGCCGTCGCCGCCGCCGTGGAGGCTGCCGCTCGGGAGCCCGCGGACGGTGGACGCGATCAACGCGCGCTTCCTCGCCGGCGGGCCGGCCAACAACCTGGCCAGTGCGGGCGTGCTCGTGCGGACCTTTGATGACATCACCGACCCGACAAAGCCGTGGCTGCCCTGCCCGCCCAAATTTCACGGCTGCTTCAAGTATGCCGGCCTGTTCTCCGTGTCCATCTTGTGGCCGCGCCACACCGGCATCTACGACACGGGGAGGGGAGGGCTGGTGCTGCGCGGCGAGCGCCTCCGGACCCTGTGCTTCTACGCGGGCGACGGCACAACGATGAGCAAGGTGAGCAAGGAGGGGGGGCCCTGCCCCGAGTTTTGCCACCAGCCCGGCGCCAAGCCGTGGCGCTGCGCTTTCGCACCGGGCCGCCTGCGCGAGGGTATGGCCGCGGCGGGCGGCGACACGCACAACGAGCTCGTCGTCAGCTCGTCGGAGTGGGTGCACGAGCTCCCCGCGACCGTGGCGGCCTTCTTCGCCACGCCGCACCAAAAGACGGGGCAGGAGGAGGTGCGGCGGCTGCACCGGGCGTACCTGCGGGAGTACCAGCTGACGCCGCGCGAGGTGCCGCTGCTGCTGCTCGACGCGAAGAGATCGCCGCCGTTCAGTGAGCTGCACTAGTCCAGCCTCCTAAAGAAAGAAAAACATCCAACGGAGGGATGGGAGGACGGCACGCCGCCACCACACGCAGGGTTTGCCCCCCGAAACTGGCCCGAGGGACCTTAAGGAGAGGAGTGTGGTGCTAGCCGTCGCCCACCCTTGGGTGTCTGCCTTTCGTTCGCCCCCCTCCTGGCAAAAACAGTTCCCTTGCTCCAAGCGCTTGCGCTTCGGCGGTAGTGATCTAATCACCCGAATACCACGTTCGGATCGCTCCTCATCGCAAACCCCGTCAGCAGTTCACCTACGGGTATGTTCGTAAGAGCTAAGGCACGTACAGCACTCTGTGTGACACATTTCTTGTTGGCTTCTAAAAATCTCTCTCTCCGTACAGCCTCAATCAAAATCTACGCAATTCTCTTCCTCTGATTCCGATTTCGGTCGGACTACCCATCCATGATGGTCTTGGCCATTGCCCTCCTGAGCGCCTGGCCGGTCCCCACCCCCCGCACGTCGACCCGGCGACTCTTCGCGCTGCCTCCTGCAGCTCGGCATTCGTCCGTGCTCCTCGAGGCCTCTGAGGCTTCGTGCGCGACGGCGGCGTCGGCGATGACGAAAGTAGCACGGCCCAAACCACTCCCGCTCGACCTGGCCGCGATCTCCTTCCTTGGCGCCTTCCTCGTCAATCGGCTCCTCGCCGCATCCCCGCGGCTCGTCGGCGGCGGCGCCTGCGCTCTCAAAGTGACCTTCCAGATCGGCGGCGCTGTTCTGCTCCCGGTGGCGCGGCTGCGGCTGGCAGAGCAGCGGCATTCGGGAATGGCGCTTCAAATCACCGACACAGCGGGCGAGCCGCCAGTTCCAGCCGCTCGCACGCGGCGCGCCTCTGCCGCGCACACGCTGCAGGGTGCCTCGCTCTGCCTCGAGCGGAAGCTGGTTGAGATGGAGCTGGAGCAGGCGGAGCGGCGGAAGATCGCCGACGAGCGGCTCGACGCCGCGGAGGCCGCGCGAGCCGCACTGCACTCGGCCCAGAGGTGGGCAAAGGCTGCGGAGGCTGCGGAGGCTGCGGGTGGCGCGGACGGCGGCAGCGGAGAGGCTGTCGCGGCCCTGCACGCCGCGGCGGCGCAGCTGGTCCGGCTCGAGGCGGCCATCGCTGACGACGAGCTCACAGCGGCGGAGATGCTGGCGCGTGTGGACACATTGCGGGCGCAGAGCATCGAGGCACGCGTTTCGGCGCGCGCGGCGCGGCCAGGCTTGTTTGCGCGCTCCGGCCGGGAGCAGCTCCCGCTCACCCTCGCCGCAGTGGCGAGCCTCGACGCGGTGAGCGCCGAGGGAATGGAGCGGTCCGCGCGCGCGCGCCGAGGCGAGGCCCTGCTGGAGGGCGGGTCCGTGGCGGCGCCAGCGGCGGCGTCAGGGGGCGGGAAGGAGGAGGGCGAGCGCTGAGTGGCTCAAGTCGAGGCCCCGAGTCGGGCGGTCGCGAGAGCGCCGGCGGCGGGCCTTGCCGGCGGCGGCAACAGTTTAGCCAAGGAGGGTGCCCGTGTGCAAGGCATCTTGACCCTGGCGGCCTTCCCTGTGCGGTGAAGGCCCGTGTGTGGCGAGGGGCTCCAGTAGCGCAGCGCTCTCGCGCGCTTCTTGGCGCCGATCGTTGGCTGTTCACCCTAGAGAGGCGAGCGGAGCCCCAATGCATGCGCCGTCGGGCTGTACCATATGTCCCTCTACCACCTATAGGACTCTTCACACACCCCGATGTGGCCAGTGACCATGTAGCTGTCTCTATGTGTCCGAGCACGGGTGTGGTCCCGCTCTCACGTGTGGCTCGCGTGGGTAGCTCTGTCACATTTTCCCGCGCGCAGGTACCCCACCCGGACGCGTTGGCTGTCCTGTTCGTTTCTAGAGCGAGCCCTGAAAACGTGCCACCTCGCGGGCGGCGGGGGCCGTCCCCACAACGGTCAACGCTGAGCCCTGCGCCTGGTCTGACAGCCTGACAGCAACCCCTGGAGCTGTGGACAGCGCCTGTGAAGCTGTGTGACAGTGCCCGACAGCCAGACAGCGCTGACAGCATTTTCTCCGACAGCCTGTGACAGCACGTATCTGACAGCCTGACAGCAGAGTCTGACAGGCGAGGTGCTCCGTCGCTGTCAGGCCCTAACGTGACAGCCTGACAGCTGCCCGACAGCCCGACAGCACACAGTGGCCTGACACAGCAGCGCTCTGACAGCCCGACAGCAGCACAGACCCCGTAGAGCCTCTTTCTTGTGCCCCATGAGGGTATAACAAAACTATTACATGCAAAGACATGCACATGTCCATGTCCATGCTCGAGTGTCCATGTCCATGTCCATGTCCACAACAATGTGCATGCCGACATGCACATGGACATGCACATGACATGTACATGTACATGCACATGTGAGTGTGGTCCATGTCCATGTAGTCATGGGATGGTCATGGGTCTCTCTGACTCTCAACCCTCCCGTCTCACCTCTGCGGACCCCTAGCACCGGCGGCTGTGCTACTACAAAGGAATCTACCAGGCAGCTAGCCTTCTGGGTCCCTACAGTATGTGCCTACGGGCTACGGCGTCTGGGTGGGGGTGGCCGCCGCCGCCTGTGCCGCCGCCGCGGGCTGCGCCTGCGCCGCCATCTGCGCTCCCCAGCGGGAGACTTACTGTGTGGATCTACTCTCACTCTCTGGCTGCGGTCTCCTCTTGATAGTGAAGTGTCATAAGTGTGGCTGGTGAGTGTCAGAGCCTGACAGCACCCCAAAACAGCACCACCTGACAGCACCTGACAGTACCGGCCCTACGTCTGACAGCAGCAGCAGCCTGACAGCTCTGACAGCTCCGACAGCGTCTGACAGCACCACCTGACAGCTCCGACAGCACCTGACAGCACCAGAGCACCTCGCCTGTCAGACAAGCACCTGACAGCACCCGACAGCACTGGACAGCACCTGACAGCTGGTCTCTGACAGAGGCACCTGACAGTCGTGCCTGACAGTGCCCGACAGCCCGACAGATCACCTGACAGCACCTGACAGCCCGACAGCCAGGGCTCAGGGTCAACGCCACACTCGGGGTCTTGCCTCTCTCTAAACTCTATATCCTGTTGTTGTCCTCTGTGTCATCGGCATGGTGTGGGCTAAATGAGAAAAGGGACCAACGAGGCTCGAGGGGTGTCCCCTTCCCCTTACGAAAGAAAGAGAGTGCCCCGTTTGTGCCGCGTCCCGTGCCCCCGAGTTCATTTTAATAAAAAGAAAGAAAGAAAACAGACAACGCAAGGGAGGGATGGGAGGACGGCACGCCGCCTCCTAACACTTCCCCTTTCGGCCACGCGGTTTTTTTCTCTCGATTGCTCGGTGGATCTCTCTTGTCCTCCCCGACATGACATGTCAGAGTGTCCCTTGTAATGCGAGAGAATCATCCGCCTCACCTAGGCTACGACCGCGGCTGACCCGAGATCCCCCCGAGATCCCCCCGAGATCGACCCAACAGGACCCCAAAGCCCCCTCTGGGGGCCCCCCCCACCCACCCACCCCGAGCGTCCGCCAAGAGCGCGAGTCGCCAATGGGGAGCGGGGGGGGGTGCGACAAACGATCAGGGGAGGCTGGGGAGGGGGGGGTCCACTCTGAAGACTGCCGACCGCGGGGGGGGGTTCTCCCACAGGGTTTTTTACCCTCCGCGTGAGGATCGGCGCGGCGAGGGGGTAGGTTCGAATTCGCCGCGCAACATTTCACCCCCACAGGACCCCCCCCTCCCCCCCTCATTGGTCCCACCACCTAGAACCCCAACCTTGGCTTCGCACCATCTCCTTGCGCAGTGTCCCCCACTATGTGTCGCCGTTATCGGGGCACGCTATCCTGTGCAGTCAGGGCAAGTGGGGGCGAGGCGCAGTCCCTCTGGTCTATACTGGTGTGGTTCTTCTCGGAGGGGGGCTTGAAGGTAAGAATATTTTATTTTTGCGTTCTTTTATTTTTAAGCAAGAGAAAGCGTTGTGTTCTTTGTAAAATTCTTGTTGTACCCAGCTCGCTCTTTTCTTTTGCAGTCTGCTGTGAGAGGGGCTCGGATTGCTAGAATTCTTTTGTTGTGTAAACGCTCTCTGCGCTCGCTGCGTCTTGAGCGCCCTTTCGTATGAGGCTCAGCACCCTCTCGTGTCTTCTCAGCACCGCCGATTCCCTCTCGCCGCGTCCACGCGTGGTTGTCTCGGGTGGCACTCACGGAAACGAGTACACCGGCGTATGGGTCCTCCAACGCCTGCAGTTGCGCTCGGCGGAGCTCGCAGAGCAGCACCCTTCTATCGCCATCGAAACACTCTTCGCAAACCCACCGGCTCACGCTGCCAATCGCCGCTTTATCGACGACGATCTCAATCGCCAGTTTAGCGCGGCGACCCTTGCCGACACGACGGCATCCAGCTTTGAGGCCGGGCGCGCCAAGGCAATCGCAGCAGACATGGGGCCAAAGGGCGCCGCCGCCGACGCGGCTGTGTGCATCGACATGCACACCACCACCGCCAACATGGGCTGCACCGTTATTGTGAGCTCGTACAGCACCCTCGCGCTTCGAGCCGCTGCGTTTGTGCACACGCACTGGGACGACGCCGACGAGGCATCGCCGCCGCTGCCGCTGCGCGTGATGGTTGAGGAGTGCAGCCAGTGCGAGGCGGCGCACCTCGCCAGCGTCGCGCGGCACGGCATCGAGATCGAGGTCGGGCCGACGCCGCAGAGCTTGCTGCGTGCGGACGTGGTCGCGTCCACAGAGCGCTGCCTCCGGCTGCTGCTGCGGTACCTCGAGCTGCACTACAGCGGCGCGGAGCCTGCCACGCCCGCCACGCTGCCCGTCTACGTCTCGCTGGGCAAGGTGCCCTTTGTGGACGGCGCCGACGCCGACGGCGCGCTCCCCGGGGCGGTGGTCGCCGCTTCGCTGCAGGACCGCGACTTCGCTCCGCTGCGGGCCGGCGAGGCGCTCTTCGAGGCGCTGGACGGCTCTCTCGTGCCTTACGACGGCTCGCTCGGCGAGGTCGTCCACCCCGTCTTCATCAACGAGGCGGCCTACTACTACAGGGAAAGCGGAAGGGGCGTCGGCATGTCGCGGCCCGTCGAGTGGCCGGTACTGTGACGGGCGCGTTCGGGTCCGTGACCGTGTGTGAGTTCGTTATAGAGTTACTGCTTAATGGTGCTTACGGTAAAGCCGCCGTAGACGGTAGAGTACTCCGAAAAACCGAATAACGAATAATGCGATAAATCCGTCGCGGTCTTGCGGGGTGAGTTTGCAGTTTCTTCACGTAAAAACAATCTCATAACCTCTCCGTCGCTACTCTCCGTAAAAAAACTTCACACGGCGACACGAATCTCTTTGGTTCAGCAAATAATCGAGTGCACACCCCGCGCACGGGTCACGGCCGAGGCCTTCGAATGGCCGCGTCCAGGCTGGCCCTAAACTTGGCCGCCTCTCGCCGGAAGGGGTTGCGGTCGCTCTGCGTCTCGATCGCCCCGGCGCGGTCGAGCGGCCACAAACGTACGACGGGCCGCGCCTCGATCCGCCTCACCTCGAGCGGACCCCACACCCGGCTGTCCGTCGACCTCGCCTCGCAGTCGCCGAGGACAAAGACGGTGCCAGGTGGCACCACCGTCGGCGACACCACCAGCTCCGGCGCGACCGCCTTCTGCTCGACGTTGCCGAAGACGCGCGCCTTCGCGCGCTGGGCCGAGAGCGCCGCCGCCCCGCCCGCCGTCTCTCCCTCCGGCGGCTCCACCTCCCTGGCGAGTGCTCTCCCCTCGGAGGCGCTGATCCGCCCCTCCCGCACGAGCCGCGCCACCTGGTCCGCCACCTGGTCCGCCTCGCGCGAAGGCTCCTCCCCCGAAGGGCGGCCCTCCGACGGGCAGGCGAGGGGCGGCGTGGGCCGCAGAGCGCCGTTCACGCGCACCCCTGAGGCGGAGACCTCGACCGTGTCGCCGGGCAGCGCGGCGACGCGCTTGATGAAGCGGTCGCGGCTGCCGATCCGGCCCCCTCCGCCGCGCACCAGCTCCTCGAGCTCGCGCGGCGGCGAGAAGAAGACGAGGTCCTCGCGCTCGAGCGGCAGCCGCAGCCGCGACGAGAGCTTCTCCGCCAGCACCACGTCGCCCACCTTGAGCGTCTCGTCCATCGAGCGGGACGGGATAGCGAACGCAGAAACAAACTGCGAGCCGATGAAGCCGAGCCACAGCGGAGACAGGCCCAGCACGACCGAGGCGAGCAGCGGAGCCATCTGAGCCACCAGCAGGCGGTGCACGTCTGGCTTGGAGGAGTCCTCGAGCGGCGGCCATGGCGGCTGCTCCGTGACGGTGAGGTTCGAAGCGGCGGCTGAGCCACGCCGGACGGGCGGGACAAAAATCTCGGCAGAGAGGGCGAGTGGTCGGAGCCGCGGCGTCGCGGTCTGGTTCCCGCCGCGTCTCAGCGTCATGGACACTGGATGTCGGAGCCGACCGCCGAATGTGGCTGCCGTTCGAGGCAAGCCGTCAGCTGCAAGCCGAGTCGCAAAGAGGAGGAAGGCTAGTCTGGGCAGGCACATACGGGACGACACTTATCGTGCGGGACGACACGCTATCGTGCCCGGTGTTGTTATCGTGCCCGGTGGTCCGGTGTGCGCCCGCGGTGTGTTGCTTGGTGTCGCTCTGGCCGTGTAAAAAGAAGAAAGTTGCGGGGCTTCACCTTTCTATTTACCTACCTACCTACCTGGGTGTGTGAGGGTAATGACCGCACTCCAAGGCCTCTATCTCACACACCACTAGGCACGGGACGGGACAAACTCTCGACGGGCCTCGAGGGACGGGCGCGGCGCGCACTGCCACTGGCACTATTTCAAACAAGGTGACGTAGTAAACCATGCGCTCACCCCGAGGGTGCGACAATAACCATACCGTACGCAGTCGTATTGCATTAGCAGAGAGGGAGGGAGGGAGAGACAGAGCGACCACTGCACTCTGACTGCACTGCAGCGCACACATCTCGACACAACATCGTCCACCAAGAAAACAAGAGGCCACACGGAGCCTACACCTTTGACGCCGGGCGCCGTGGCGCCACTCGCAGCGGCGGCGGCCTCTACTTGCCCAGGCCGAGCACGAGGTTGAAGCGGTCCACCTCTGAGGCAGAGCCGATGCAGAGGGGCGTGCGCTGGTCAATGCCCGTGATCTTGGTATCGAGGATCGAGGCGCCCGAGACGCCGTCCGAGGTCTTGCCGCCCGCCTTCTCGACGAGCAGGCCAAAGGGCGCCGCCTCGAAGGCCAGACGCAGCTTCGCCGGCGACGACTCGGAGGTTGGGTTGGCGAAGACGCCCTGCCGCTTGGTGAACTGCTGGCAGATGTCGGGCACGAGGCCGCCCGTGTAGCGCAGCGTGTACTTGTTGGTCATCCAATACTCGATGAGCTTGGCGTACTCGGGCACCTCCTGCGCGGCGCGCATGTTTGCCGGCGCAAAGATCTTGGACTCGGTCGCAATCTCGATCGCGTCACGCGAGCACAGCCAGCCGTCGACGCCGTTTGCGCCGTAGGTGAACTCGTAGACGCCGTCGTCGAGGGTGACAAAGACGGTGGTGCGCGGCCCGTACAGCGCCACGAGGGACGCCTTCTGGTCGCGGCCTGTCGCGCCGAGGATGCCCGTCTCGGCGCCCCAGATGCCGAGGATCGTGCCGACGGCCCAATTATTGTCGACGATCGAGCTCCCGTCGAGCGGGTCCCAGCAGACGCAGAACTTACCATCAGCGTGCATCTCGCGCACTTCGGGCTCCTCCTCCGAGGCTCCCTCCTTTATCAGCGGCTCCGTCTTGCAGATGTCCCACATCAGGTCGTCGGCGAGGACGTCCACTCCGAGCTGCACGTCGCCAAAGACGGACTCCTGCTTCTCGGCGACCGTGACCAGCTCCTTACGCAGCGCCTCGGTGATTGTGCCGCAGCCGTCGAACATCGTACCGAGCACCGACCGCAGCTCCGGGTCGGCGCACTTGGCCTCGAGGACCTCGCCGAGCGTCTCGTAGCTGGCCTTTGCGACCGCGTCGGTGTAGAAGGAGGTGTGGGAGGCGCCAAACGCGGCGTCCTTGGCCACCGCGGCGTCCATGCGCGGAGCCCTCGCCCGCGAGGGCAAGGTGTAGGCCGAGCCGGAGATGAGCGAGACGGCCAGCATGCCGGGCTTCGCGAGACTTCTGACACCTCTCGGGAACCAAGCATTGCCACACATGCGGTGTTTACTCTTTCTCTGCCTCGCCACTTTGTGAGATAGCTGCAGTGCAGCCACATCCTCCAGTCGATGCCCGTGATCGAGCTTCTTTGGCGTTCGGACCCCTCTTCTTCACCTCTGTGGAACCAGCACGTCCGTGAACAGAGTTCCTATTCTTGAGGTACCCAAGTACGAGATTGTAAGGGCCGGTACAGCCATTCGACTCACCACTCCTCGTCCCGAACGCACGCTCGAAACGAACGCAGGGTTCGTTCGTTCGGACCGCGCGAGAGACCTTGCCATTCGTTCGTCGGCACGAACGTCCGGACAACACGAATCGGCCCGGTGGCGCGAAAATGTGGCGGCTCGCCTCGCACGAACGTGGGCGCGAACGTGTGAGCGCCCCTGCACTGGGGGCAACTGTCAGAATTCATCACTGGCATGGTGCGCGCCCCAAGCGCGCTGCTCTGCCCGTGTAGCACTGATCTCGGCGTGCCAGGCCCTTTTTACATTGTCCCGCACGCGCTTCTGCGCTCCCGCCGCAGGCGCACGCCAGCGGCGCGAAAAAAGGCGCTCCATGGGGCACCCTGGAAAGATTCGTCGAAGAGGCGTACGAGACATTCGAGGCCGAAACTGGCGGCATTCCCGCAAGCGGGCCGTTTCGGGTCCGCAACCACATCAAGATCACAGAGATGCTTCGCTCGGGCGCTGATGCGCCTCTGGCGCCGAGTGCGTGCCCACCGACATCCGCCCCTCCCCCACCGCTCGCTCACGCCCGCCCGCCCCCACCTCGCAGCCAAAGAGAACCTGCGGTGCTACGCCGAATTTCACGGCGTGGGCGTCAAGGGTTCCAAGGTTGAGGAGATCCTCCCGTACGCGTGGGTCACGCTGTCCCACGCCAAGACATACGCGGACGTGTTTGTTGCGCTCGGAGTCAAGCCCAAGGACGTCGAGGCGGTCTGCGAGGCGAGCGCCGACATGATTTTCCACGTGGAGTGGGCGCAAGGCTACATGACCGGCATCGACCCGCTCTCGCGGCCCTTCCACATCGTTGTCCACGAGCCTGTGGACGCGGCGCTTCAGCGCCACCTCGATGAGTTCGGCGAGACCTCGGACCTCGGCCGGGCGGTCTGGCGGCTCAAGTTCCGCGCCTACGGCTACATGTGGTCGCTGGCGGGGGAGCTCCGCGACTACATCGAGCGGGTGATCTCCTTCAAAACGATCCATGACCCCGCTGAGGTAGCTCGAGCCAGTGCCGTCGTCGTCCCACCGGAGATCTCCAATCCGCCCGCTACCCCGCCAGTCCCGCCATTCCCAGAGCACCTCCACACCTGGGCGACAGCGGAGATGCTGAACGGCTACCCCCACCTGCACCGCATCCTGTACGGGTACGAGCCGACGGCCATCAAGCTCGGCCTCGTCATCAAGGAGCAAAAGATCCTCACGGGCGTGGTGCCCGGCGGCTCGCTCAGGAGCGAGCCTCGCGCAGGCGGCGGCGATCTCGCTCTACAACGCCGCGGCGGTGACGGGCGACCACCTCGGTGGTCCCATGCCGATCTCCCCTGCGCTCCTGTCGGGGGGCGTTGCCGCAACCTTCCTCACGACCATCAACGCCATTCCCCCCGAGCGGGTGCCGGAGATGCGCTTCTTCACCGCCGTGGCCTCGGTGCGACGCCCCTCCTCCCGCCACTGCACCGCTCTCCACACACTGCCGTGCCGAGCCCGCCCGCATGGCCCTTTCAGGCCCGGTACAACCTCGATACCTTCCTCAAGTGGCTCGATCCGCTCATCTCGGCCATCGCCAAGACCGAGAGCGCCCCGCCACAAGCGCTCGCTCGCGCGCGCGCCGCTCGCTGCGCCATCGG